GAAAAATATTAGAGTATTTGGAAGAGCCACTCTTTTGAATTGTGCACAAAGACAGTTTTCATTTTCTTTTAAAAATGTTTTTGAAAAACTCCTTTTAGTATTTGCAGAGTTTCAGCAATAAAATTCCTAATTCTTAATGAATTAGAAGTTAGTAGTTAATATTTGAACTTTGCTTTGCAAGAATATGGTCCCAGGTTTATTTACACAAGACTCTTTTCAGGGAAGTTTTTGTTTTTCCTAGCTGGGGCAGTTGTTAACAGAATTTCATATATATTTTCTCTATAAAAAATGTTTTATTTAAAATGATTGAAAATAGGTAGAATATGAATCTTTTGTTTCACTGAACTGTGCAGCTAGCTGAAAACAAAAACAAAAACAGAACAAATCCAAAGAACCCTCCTGGTGACAGAACTATGAGTGAGAGGGGATCAAAATAATGGGCCACTGTTTCTTGTGTGCATGCTAATTCACTTCAGTTGTGTCCAACTCGGTGCAACCCCATGGAGTGTACCTTGCCAGGCTCCTCTGTCCATGGGATTTTCCAGGTAAGAATACTGGAGTGGGTTGCCATGCCCTCCTCCAGGAAATCTTCTTATCCCAGGGATTGAACCCACCTCTCTTACATTTCCTACATTGGAAGGCAGGTTCTTTACCACTAGTGTCATCTAAAAAACCCCAAATTACAGTGAATTAACCAAACCTGGACTAAAATGTGAAAGTGTTAGTCACTCAGTTGTGTCCAGCTCTTTGCAATTCCATGAACCATAGCCCTCTAGGCTCCTCTGTCCATGGAATTCTCCAGGCAAGAATACTGGAGTGGGTTGCCATACCTTTCTCCAGGTGATCTTCCTGACCCACAGATCAAACCTGAGTATCCTGAATTATCTGAGCTACCAGGGAAGCCCAAGGGGGAGATATATCTAAAAATGAGGCCCATATGGGAAATGACATGAGGCTTTTATATAACATATCTTAGTCAACAATGAAATCCTAGTGTTCAAATAATAAAAATCTGTAATGGTGAGAAAATACCATTTGGATTCAAATGCATTTTTAAAGGATAAATTGTACAGAAAAATTATAAAACATAAATAAACTTGACTCCACATATAATGGTCAAAAAGGAATAAAGTTTAAAAGCCTCTCCTTCCCCTCATACTACAATTCTTACTGATGTACTGGGGCCAGGATACAACTCTGTCTTCACATTTGTAGTAAAACAAGTCTATTGTGATATAACTAAGAGCAGAATCTTTGTTGTAGGAGAAGGCTTGTTTCAACTCTGAATATGCAGATTCCCTAAATAGATCCTTTCTCCCCAAGTATTGTTTAGCAAATATTTGATTGCAAGAAAGAAAACCCACGTGAGGTAAGGTTCAGTTCAGTTCAGTTCAGTTCAGTCTCTCAGTCATGTCTAACTCTGCGACCCCATGCACTGCAGCATGCTAGGCTTCCCTGTCCATTACCAACTCCTGGAGCCTGCTCAAACTCATGGCCATCGAGTCAGTGATGCCATCCAACCATTTCATCCTCTGTCATCCCCTTCTCCTCCTGCCTTCAATATTTCCCAGCATCAGGGTATTTTCCAGTAAGTCAGTTCTTCACATCAGGTGGCCAAAGTATTGGAGCTTCAGCTTCAGCATCAGTCCTTCCAATAAATATTCGGACTGATATCCTTTATGATCAACTGGTTGGATCTCTTTGCAGTCCAAGGGACTCTCAAGAATATTCGCCAACACCATAGTTCAAAAGCATCATTCCTTCCATAAATCCTTTCTTTATGGTCTTACTCTCACATCTATACATGCCTCCTGTAAAAATCATAGGTTTGACTAGATGGGCCTTTTTTGGCAAAATAATGTCTCTGCTTTTTGATGTGCTATCTAGGTTTGTCATAGCTTTTCTTCCAAGGAGCAAGCGAATTTTAATTTCATGACTGCAGTTACCATCTGCAGTGGTTTTGGAGCCCAAGAAAATAAAGTCTGTCACTGTTTCCATTATTTCCCCATCTATTTGCCATGAAGTGATGGGACTGGATGTCATGATCTTAGTTTTCTGAATGTTGAGTTTGAAGCCAACATTCTTTATATTCTCCTCTTTCACCTTCATTAAGAGGCTTTTTAGTTCCTCTTCACTTTCTTCCATAAGGGTGGTGTCATCTGCATATCTGAGTTTATTTATATTTCTCCTAGCAATCTTGATTCCAGCTTGTGCTTCATCCAGCCTGGCATTTTGCATGATACACTCTGCATATAATTTAAATAAGCAGAATGACAATGTATAGCCTTGTAGATAAAATAAAAAGGGTGTGTTTCAAAACTAAAAGAGGACTATCATGCTTCTATATACATCAAGTGCTCAGGAGGAATTGAAGCAGTTCATTCTCTGTTGAACTTAAACAAAGACCCAGTATGGCCATTTTGGTCTCACTTTTAATGTAAATCTCAGATTTTATTATTTAGAAATAAATGGAATTTTCTGTATCCAAAATTCAAATTTATAAGACATAATGTTATTGGCTTGGGTTGGATCAGAAATTGATCTCTGACCCAGTCAGCTATAGGCTAAGCCAGAATTCAGGAAGAATCAATGAGGGGAATCTTTCTGAGAGATAAGCAGAAGACAGAGTGGGTAGGGTAATGATTTGTCAGAGAGGACAATATAAAATAATGAAATTCCCTACCAGCTAGAGAAGAAATCTATTTTCTTGATGATAACTGCTACTGAGGTGGGAGATAGGGAACCTGAGTTGATGTGGTAAAGAATCTTGACTCAGAAGATCTCTTATCTATTCAGCTGACTCTTTATCTATTCATCTAAGAACACAGAGGTTCCTTTAAGAATGAAGGCACAGAGGATGTATCAGTACCTCTTTTGTAAGAGAGGACAATTACCTCATTGTACCCCAGTGGTCTGGCTCTCAGGACTTAACATCTTTTACCTATTTCATTTAACAAAACCATATGTCTATACTAGCATACAAAAATACAGAAAAACACCTTGCTGCTTTCACATCTTTCAAAATACCATAGGCTTCCCCTGCAGCACTGACAGCCCTGGCTGCCTCAGAGAAGCTAGTTAGGGACTCAAACCTTAGCAACTTCAGTGCGTTGTGATGACATTTGACCTTGTCTCATCACCTGGGTATTGCTTAAAGGAATTCCCAACCATTTGTCTTACGTACACAATAGTATTATTAGAATGGTATTCATGGACTTTGAGGGTGATAACTAAATCTAGGTTCCGTATGCCAAATATAACCTGCCACCAGCTGGTTATAAATCTGTTCTCATCTCTCTGAGGAAGTCCTTTTTAAAATTCATGACTTAAAATAATTCCTTGTACACTGTGCATGTGTGTGTGTATTCATATACAGTTGTACTTAACCCACAGTGTTTATTCTACTAATCTAAATTATATTCTTTTAAAAAGAAATAAAAACTAGCAAGAGGATACATATGCAGCAAAGGATATCCCTAGCTTTCATCCCTGACCTGTCATTACATTGCTTGAACTCAGACTTAGCTCCCAAAAGGATTAGACAGGTGGTCTATAGAATAATATATGTCATGCTTTTTTCCATAATTATTCCTCTGCTCTGCATCCAAGATAACTGGTCTGAGCTTGTTTGAGCTTTTTCTTTTAGCTGAGTTTTCTTCTAGGAGATTTATTGCATTATGAACAAAATATGAGGGAAGCATCATAATAAAATAAAACCCCTGTTGGATATTGAGACATAAGCAACACTATTTTGAAAACTCCCCAAAGGAAGATAACCCACAGAGGATAATCATTCTTGTGTTCCTCACATCAGAACACCAGGATTATGTCTTCCTTTTTTTCATGAAAAATGACAATGTCTGATTGCAGGGTATTATTGATTATACATGCCCTGAAAATGAGATGGGCCCAATCCCATAAGCAGTAACAATGCCAAGAGTGGCAGCACATTTACTAATGGAAACAGGAACTAAGAATAAGGGGCAAGTGTTCTAGAAAAGAGTTGCCAAACTGGAAAGAGGAATACAAATCATAGAACCCCAACATACTGTAACTGAGTTCTTTATGAAACTAAAACACATTGAGTGGAAAAAACAACAGTGAAATGTCTTGGAGTCCTGATATAACTGGTAACAAAATAGATAGTGGAAAAGTAAATGAATTCTAAAATTAATTTTAAAACCTAATTTATTTCAGTGAAATAACATAAAAGAAAACCAGAATCATTAGTAGTCAATAGAAACAAAGATTAGGTATTTGATACAGTTAAGAGTGATCTTGTTATCGAAGCAGTCACTATATGTGTGTGTGTATATATATATATATATATATTTATATTTATATGTCAGTTCAGTTCAGTCACTCAGTCGTGTCCGACTATTTGTGACCCCATGAACTGCAGCATGCCAGGCCTCCTTATCCATCACCAGCTCCTGGAGTTTACCCAAACTCATGTCCATTGAGTTGGTGATATACCCAACCATCTCATCCTTTGTTGTCCCCTTCTCCTCCTGCCTTCAATCTTTCCCAACATCAGGGTCTTTACAAATGAGTCAGCTCTTCACATCAGGTGGCCAAAATATTGCAGTTTCAGCTTCAACATCAGTCCTTCAAATGAACATCCAGGACCGATTTCCTCTAGGATGGACTGGTTGGATCTCCTTGCCGTCCAAGGGACTCTCAAAGAGTCTTCTCCAACACCACAGTTCAAAAGCATCAATTCTTCGGCATTCAGCTTTTTTTTTTTTTTCCTTCATTAAACTTTTCTTAATGGGTCTCAAATTCTGGGACAGATTTTTGGTCAAGTTGTTTTCATTAAAAAGTACTGATTTTAAAAACTAATAGCTTAAACTGCCACACACAAAACATATGGTCCACAAAAACATTCTCCTTTCCTTCTGAAAGTTTTATGATGCATTGTTATCATTAACCAGTCTTTACTATTACACTTAAATGGCCAATTGAGACAAACAGTTCGGAGACCGTTCTTCCACCACTGATTAAGACTGGCGTGGCAGGTATTGGGGATAATATTCATTTAGCCTTCTGAGCTTTCTAGCAGACTTGGTGACCTTGCCAGCTCCAGCTGCCTTCTTGTCCATTGCTTTGATGACACCCACAGCGACTGTCTGTCTCATGTCACGCACAGCAAAATGGCCCAGGGGAGGATAATCAGAGAAGCTCTCGACACACATGGGCTTGCCAGGAGCCATATCAACGATGGCAGCATCACCATATTTCAAGAATTTAGGGCCATCTTCCAGCTTTTTCACAGAACGACAATCAATCTTCTCCTTCAGCTCAGCAAACTTGCAAGCAATGTGAGCTGTGTGACAATCCAGCACAGGTGCATATCCAGCACTGATTTGGCCTGGATGGTTCAAAATCACCTGAGCTGTGAAGCCAGCAGCTTCCACGGGTGGATCATTTTTGCTGTCTCCAGCCACATTGCCATGACGGACATCTTTGACAGACACGTTCTTGACATTGAAGCCCACATTGTCCCCAGGAAGGGCTTCCCTCAATGCTTCATGGTGCATTTCTACAGACTTCACTTCAGTTGTTACATTGACTGGAGCAAAGGTGACCACCATGCCAGGTTTGAGAACACCAGTCTCCACATGACCCACAGGGATAGTACCAATACCACCAATTTTATAGACATCCTGGAGAGGCAAATGCAAGGGTTTGTCAGTTGGGTGAGTTGATGGCAGGGTGGTTCCACTGGCATTGCTGTCCTTAAGGGTGAATTTCCATCCCTTGAACCATGGCATGTTAGCACTTGGCTCCAGCATGTTGTCAACATTCCAGCCAGAAATTGGTACTGACTCCCTAAACAATTTCCTCGTATCTCTTATGGCTATAGGGTGGCTCAGTGGACTCCATTTTGTTACTCCAACAATTAGTTGTTTCACACCCAGAGTGTAAGCCAGAAGGGCATGCTCACGGGTCTGCCTGTTCTTGGAGATACTGGGTTGAAATTCACCAACACCAGCAGCACCAATTAGGACAGCACAGTCAGCCTTGGATGTGCCTGTAATCATGTTTTTGATGAAGTCTCTGTGTCCTGGGGCATCAATGCTGGTAACATAATACTTGCTGGTCTCAAATTTCCGCAGGGAGATATCAATGGTGATACCATGCTCACGTTCAGCTTTCAGTTTGTCCAAGACCCAGGCATATTTGAAGGAGCCCTTTCCCATCTCAGCAGCCTCCTTCTCGAATGTTTCAATTGTTCTCTTGTCGATCCCGCCACATTTGTAGATCAGATGGCCAGTCGTGTTAGACTTCTCTGAATCTACATGCCCAATGATAATGATGTTAATGTGGGTCTTCTCCTTTCCCATTTTGGCTTAGGTTTAATGGTGGTTTTCACGACACTTGTGTCCTGGCTGCAAACCCATTGTGAAAAAGCTTAGCTTTCTTTATAGTACAAATTTCACATCCATACATGACCATTGGAAAAACCATAGCCTTGACTAGATGGACCTTTTATGGAAAAGTAACATCTCTGCTTTTTAATATGCTGTCTAGGTTAGTCATAACTTTCCTTCCAAAGAGTAAGCATCTTTTAAATTTCATGGCTGCAATCACCATCTGCAGTGATTTTGGAGCCCCTGAAAATAGTCAGCCACTGTTTCCCCATCTATTTGCCATGAAGTGATGGGACCAGATGCCATAATCTTAGTTTTCTGAATGTTGAGCTTTAAGCCAACTTTTTCAGTCTCCTCTTTCACTTTCATCAAGAGGTTTTTTAGTTCCTCTTCACTTTCTGCCGTAAGGGTGGTGTCATCTGCATATCTGAAGTTATTGATATTTCTCCTGGCAATCTTGATTCCAGCTTGTGCTTCATCCAGCCCAGCATGTCTCATGATGTATTCTGCATATAAGTTAAATAAGCAGGGTGACAATATACAGCCTTGATGTACTCTTTTTCCTATTTGAAACCAGTCCGTTGTTCCATGTCTAGTTCTAATTGTTGCTTCCTGACCTGCATACAGGTTTCTCAAGAGGCAGGTTGGGTGGTCTGGTATTCCCATCTCTTTCAGAATTTCCCACAGTTTATTGTGATCCACATAGTCAAAGGCTTTGGCGTAGTCAGTAAAGCAGAAATAGATGTTTTTCTGGAACTCTCTTTCTTTTTTGATGATCCAGCAGATGTTGGCAGTTTGATCTCTGGTTCCTCTTCCTTTCTAAAACCAGCTTGAACATCTGGAAGTTCACAGTTCACGTACTGCTGAAGCCTGGCTTGAAGAATTTTGAGCATCACTTTATTAGCGTGTGAGATGAATGCAATTGTGCGGTAGTTTGAGCATTCTTTAGGATTGCCTTTCTTTGGTATTAGAATGAAAACTGACCTTTTCCAGTCCTGTGGCCACTGCTGAGTTTTCCAAATTTGCTGACATATTGAGTACAGCACTTTCACAGCATCATCTTTTATTATTTGAAATAGCTTAACTGGAATTCCATCACCTCCACTAGCTTTGTTCATCGTGATACTTCCTAAGGCCCACTTCATTTCACATTCCAGGATGTCTGGCTCTAGGTGAGTGATCACACCATCGTGATTATCTGGGTCATGACAATCTGTTTTGTATAGTTCTTCTGTGTATTCTTGCTACCTCTTCTTATACCTTCTGCTTATGTTAGGTCCATACCACTTCTGTCCTTTGTTTAGCCCATCTTTTCATGAAATGTTCCCTTGGTATCTCTGATTTTCTTGAAGAGATCTCTAGTCTTCCCTATTCTATTATTTTCCTCTATTTCTTTGCATTGATTGCTGAGGAAGGCTTTCTTATCTCTCCTTGCTATTCTTTGGAACTATGCTTCAAACGGATATATCTTTTCTTTTCTCCTTTGCTTTTTGCTTATCTTCTTTTCACAGCTATTTGTAAATCCTCCTCAGACACCCATTTTGCTTTTCTGAATTTTTCCCTTGAGGATGGTCTTGATCCCTCTCTCCTGTACAATGTCACGAACCTCCATCCATAGTTCATTAGGCACTTTCTCTATCAGATCTGGTCCCTTAAATCTATTTCTCACTTTTACTGTATACTCATTTGGGATTTGACTTAAGTCTTACCTGAATGGTCTAGTGGTTTTCTCCACTTTCTTCAATTTCAGTCTGAATTTGGAAATAAGGAGTTCATGATCTGAGCCACAGTCAGCACCCAGTCTTGTTTTTGCTGACTGTATAGAGCTTCTTCATCTTTGGCTGAAAAGAATATAATCAATCTGATTTCAATGTTGACCATCTGGTGATTTCCATGTGTAGAGTCTTCTCTTGTGTTGTTGGAAGAGGGTGTTTGCTATGACCAGTGTCTTCTCTTGGCAAAACTCTGTTAGCCTTTGCCCTCCTTCATTCTGTATTCCAAGGCCAAATTTGCCTGTTACTCCATTTATTTCTTTACTTTCTACTTTTGTATTCCAGTCTCCTATAATGAAAAGGACATCTTTTTTGGGTGTTAGTTCTAAATGCAAGGAGCTACCTGTGGAATTACCCTAATGTCTTATGTGAGGTGTTAGTTCTAAATGTGAGGACGTGAGGAGCTACTCCACATCCAAGGGCAGGGGCAGTGGCTGAGAGGAGTTATCCCATGTCCAAGATAAGGAGCAGCCGTGAAGAGATACCCCACATGCAAGGTAAGAGAAATGCAAGTAAGATGGTAGGCTCTGAGAGAGGGCATCAGAGGGCAGACAGACTGAAACCACAGTCACAGACAACTAGCCAATCTGATCACATGGACCACAGCTTGTCTAACTCAATGAAACTAAGCCATGCCATGTTTGTCCACCAAAGATGAACAGGTCATGGTGGAGAGGTCTGATAGAATGTGGTCCACTGAAGAAGGGAATGACAAACCACTTCAGTATTCTTGCTTTGAGAACCCCATGAATAGTATGAAAAGGCAAAAAGATAGGATACTGAAAGAGGAACTTCCCAGGTCGGTAGGTGCCCAACACACTATTGGAGATCAGTGGAGAAATAACTCCAGAAAGAATGAAGGGATGGAGCTAAAGCAAAAACAACATCCAGTTGTGAATGTGACTGGTGATAGAAGCAAGGTCCGATGCTGTAAAAAGCAATATTGCATAGGAACCTGGAATGTTAGGTCCGTGAATCAAGGCAAATTGGAAGTGGTCAAACAGGAGATGGCAAGAGTGAACATTGACATTCTAGGAATCAGCGAACTAAGATGGACTGAAATGGATAATCTAACTCAAATCATTATATCTACTACTGTGGGCAAAAATCCCTTAGAAGAAATGGAGTAGCCATCATAGTCAACAAAAGAGTCTGAAATGCAGTACTTGGGTGCAATCTCAAAAATGACAGAATGATCTCTGTTCATTTCCAAGGCAACCCATTCAATATATATATGAATATATATGTATATGTATATATTACATTTTTGACATTTTTAAAACAAGGTTCTTAATTTAGAATTCTAGCAACGTCTAATAGAATTTAATATTCTCTTATAACAAATTTTAACAACTTGGTCAATTCTGAAATATAAGATAGTTTACACTTTCTTATCCTAACTATAGGCTTCCCACATGGCTCAGTGGTAAAGAATTCACCTGCCAATACAGGAGACACAGGAAACACAGGTTTAATCCCTTGGCCAGGAAGATCCCCTGGAGATCTTCCCACTCCAGCATTCTTGACTGGAAAATCCCATGGCCAGAGGAGCCTGGTGGGCTACAGTACATGGGGTCACAAAGAGTCAGACACAACTGAGCACATGCGCATCCTAACTATGCCCTTTTTATACTGTGTGACCTGGCACAAATAATTTCATATTTGTAAGATGTACATGAGTGAATTCCCTTGTCTGTAAAGTTAGTGGGAAAAGTAGAATATTTAATGCTGGACTTTAAAAACTACTTCAACAAGATCTAATTCTCAACCAATGAGTTATTTGCTTGAAATTCAATCCATGTGGTTCCAAAAGTCAGTCAGTCAATCAGGTAAAATTGTGTTAATACAAAGAGTGGAACTTTTGATGTTATGATAACGTATGTAAAAGTTTTGAGGGGTATTTTGTCAGGCTTCTCTGTGCATGGGATTTTCCAGGCAAGAATACTGGAGTGTGTATTTTGTAGGCTGATAGACAAATTATTAGATTTAAACACCCTATTAGGGTTATAAGAGTAGATATTATATTTCAACTGCTATTCTTATCATTCACTACTTCACTACTTAATTAATTTGGATCATAGTGGCTATATTTCTACTGAATATAAAATGGATTTTAATCTATAAGCTTTAAGAGCATCACCATGCCCCCTGAACAATGTAAGACAGTTTATTTTAAACTTGAAGAATAACCTCTTCTCAACCTGTATATGATCCATGAAAGGTTTCCACTACAAATACAAGATCTTGTGTTTTCAAGACACTGCTTTTGTTCATCATTCAATCATGTCTGACTCTTTGTAACCCCATGACTGCAGCATGCCAGGTTTCCTTGTCATTCCAGTGAGTTGGCTCTTCACATCAGGTGGCCAAAGTATTTAATACTAGGAGCAAACAAATTTCCAGGAATAATTCTTTCTTCTCTTCTTTATGGTTTTTCCATAAAGCTAAGAAAGAGAGGAAAACAATAGAATGGGAAAGACTAGAGATCTCTTCAAGAAAATTAGAAATACCAAGGGAACACTTCACACAAAGATAGGCACAGTTAAGGACAGAAACACCGTGGACCTAAGAGAAGCAGAAGATATTAAGAAGAGGTGGGAAGAATATACAGAAGAACTATCCAAAAATATCTTAATGACCCAGATAACCATGATGGTGTGATCATTCACCTAGAGCCAGATATCCTGGAGTTGCAAAGTCAAGTGGACCTTAGGAAATATCACTATGAACAAAGTTAGAGGAGGTGATGGAATTCCAACTGAGCTATTTCAAATCCTGATCCTAAAGTGCTGCACTCAATGTACCAACAAATTTAGAAAACTCAACAGAGGCCACAGGCCTGGAAAAGGTGAGTTTTCATTCCAATCCCAAAGAAAGACAATGCCACATTATGTACCACACAATGCACTCCTTTCACACACTAGTAAAGTAATGCTCAAAATACTTCAAGCTAGGCCTCAAAAGTATGTGAGCCAAGAACTTCAGATGTACAAGCTGGATTTAGAAAAGGCAGACGAATCAAAGATCAAATTGCCAACATCTGTTGGATCATAGAAAAAGCAAGAAAATTCAAGAAAAACATCTACTTCTGCCCTATTGACTATGCAAAAACTTGAACTGTGTAGATCACAACAAACTGTGAAGACAGGGAAGCCTGGGGTGCTGAAGTCCATGGGATGACAAAGAGTTGGACAGGACTGA